AGTAAATGTATAGAAAAACAATGTAGTAATTAGATTTTCTTTAAAATATACTTATAAATACGTTACATTGGCTTCTGGAGTCGTTTTTGTGAGAGAATTTTACTTCCGCATCTGAAAATGGGCGTGACGTAACGGGCGGGAGAGCGGTCGATTCAAACCATTCAAACAACAGGAAAACAATGGATCGCAATGACATTTCGGACTTACTCGTATGACAGACCACGGACGACAGCCTTACAATTATGAGCCTGCTATCAAGGGCGTAGATTTGGTTTGAACATTGGGGGGGTTGAAGTTTGGGTATGCCTCCTGATATTGTGATCATGGTATAAATAATGGGGGGGTTGTAATGCATAGATTTAAATCTTGGGGGGGTTATATCCCCCCCATAAATTACGCCCCTGCCTGCTATGCTGCCGAGAGAGCAGGGACAGGCCAGGATTAAATGTTAGACAGAACAACGGTCAGAGGAAACACACATTATTGCAAAAGTATTATTATAAAAAAACTTGTGTGGAGTGAGTGTGCGCAGCCGCAGTTTATTGCATCACTTAATCGCGCGTATTTTTGATTAGCCTAGCTGTCAGATACTGAGTAAACATTAAAAGAACAGGCCTATTCAATCTTCCCTGGATGTTTTTTTAAGAAGAAATGAAATAATAGCAATCAGGAGAATGGAAGCAGCAATAAAAAAAAATGAGGACTGTAGTGCTGTCGGCAAAACATACCACTGCAATAAAAACTGCACTGCAACAAAAAGGTAAGGCAAGGCATATGTGTTTTTATATTTAATGCTGTTCACTGTGAGTTTTAATTAATAGTGTAATAGAGTTAACAGTGCATCGTTCATTCTGTTTGGTAAAATGTGAGGTGTATATCGATTATCGTATCAGTTAATAGCAAAGCTATTATTGGTCATCTAGGAGTATTGGATTTTACCAATATCAGAATAAACTATATAAGCTTTGATCAGGCGCGTATGTCATGCTCATTAATATCCGTCCAGACTAACGTTACGTAATATAACTTAGCTCATCGAGAGACAGATAGATATTTTTATTCCTGATATACTGTATATCAGGAATAAAAATATCTATCCGTCTCTCGATGAGCTAAGTACACCAGATCTGAGGAACGTGTATATCATATAGGCCTACACGTTTTTGTTCCTCATGGTGTACGCTACACACGATCGCGTTTTTGGAAGCCGATGCGGAAGAGAAATCCTGTCTCTATACAGCTGCACAAACCGCACACAGGCACGATAGACAGTACCGTCCCCTTTCTTGTTAGGAAACCTGACTCGATGTCCTGACAGGCCGGAGTTTTTGCAACCTCCACAAACACAATAATTTACAATGATGACGATGATAAATTAAAATATAAAAACTACCGAAAACACTGATTCACGACCGCTCTTACTGACTTTTTTTTAAATTCGATGCCACAAGAACAAGAGGTTTTACATATTCACAATATCACATTAACATTAGCTGCCAGGAAATAAAAAATACAAAAAAAAGTTTTACATAAAATCCTGTGCTTTCAAAGCATTACATGTTTTCATTGCTTTTTTTGTTTTTAGTTTGTTTGTTCCAAAAGATGTACATATAATGTGAAGTCATTTATAAAACGTGAAAAAAGCCCAATTCTTTTTATGTACATGGTATTTTCCTAATAAAACAAATAACTGTATAATATGTTGTTCTTTACATTCCAAATTGTCATTGTGAGTATAAAAAAGCAAATTTACCCGCTCTACTGAATACAAACCTATCTGCGCTACTGAGGCTCCCTCCCTCTGGTGACGTAAAATGACGCGATGCCTTTTCATCAAATCCTGCATTACCTTTTCATATGGTATTTTCATACAAGGTTAGATATTAATTTAGATTTTTTTTTTAACCTGCAATATGCTCTTTAATTTTCTCAAAGGCAGAGAAAGATTGCCAAAGCTCGGTTTACACCGATTGAAATTTCGGGGACCATGTACAGGCTAGGGGAACTCATATTAATGTTAAAAAAACCTCAGAAAGTGAAAATTTCATGTCAGGGGACGCATGTTGTTGCTCATGTTAAAACTTTCAGCCCCAAAATCTGTGCAGAAAACAAAAGAGAAAAACAACCGGGGAGAATAAATCTACAGAAAAGAAAAGGTATTCGTTGTTATTATCCGAGGGGGCAACATAACTGCTTCTAAAAAATAAATAAAAAACTCTGGTAAACATTGGATCATCGTTCCAATGTAATTTTTATTTGTGTGTGTGTGTGTGTGGAATAAACAGATCTCCTAGCCATCTCAAACGGCTTATAGTTGTCAAAAAAAAATCGCAAAACAATGTGTAAAAGTTAAATAATACATTTATTTAAGTTATTAAAATTGCAACAGCGTGTTCACTTCATTTAGGCTATATTTTGCATGGTTGACCGCTTGCTCAACAGGTGGCATGGCAGCAGGGGTGGCCAAGCTTCAATCACATTGGCCATCCATGGCCACCGCCTGCCCCTGGATATCTTAATTTAGTTAAGGCAATGTTCTCATATCCATTTATTTTGTTCTAATGTAACAAGTAATAATCTCAAGTAGGCCTACTGCTTAACACGATTCTAAACATAACCCAGCCAGTATAATCACAATGAACACATTCAAAATGAAATATGTAACATATATCAGACGATAGCTATATAGCAAAGCGTCTAATTTGTAAACAAAATGATTTACGCACTAAATCCAGCATTAACTCCGGCACAATTTGCATATTTTTAAACTCTCAAGTCACATCCCGAACCTCACAGCAATGGGCTATGTGCACGCATAACTTCCGCGTTTGACGCAAGGATGCTCGTGCGTTTCCGGTTGGGGAGATTTAAAGCGGAGGAAAACCGAGGAAAACGGTATTATGGCAGTCTTCAAAATTTACTGTCCTCTCGTCTTTGAAACGAAACTTTAATACGTTTAGATGTAATTTTATATATAGTTATGTTTATTTAATATAATAAACACAGAAGCATAAACAAAATGAGGATCGAGTGTCTGTTTTGTCTGTTTTTGTGACTAACGTTTTTTTAGTATAGCAATAGAGTATAAAAACCAATATAAATTCTCGGTATAGCATTGGACTCTACGATCGGCGGAAGTAATCCAGCATCCTTAGACCTTCACCGGAAATACCGCCGTGCATAGAGCCCATTGGCTGCCGAGCGTGTTTTTCGCTTGATATTTGCATAAAGTCGAGAACCCAACCTTTTGACGCTCTCAACCAGCTCTCAACGCTTTCTCCGGTCCGCTGTCAATCCCAAAATGCACTGCGCGAGCGTGAAGCTCGACTTCCATAGACATGAATTGAAAACGCTTGCTCCACGCCAGTGGACACGCACCATAAGATGGGTGTAACTCCCGTTAAGCTGTAAACAATTAGTGAAAGGCTAATTATGAACGCAAACAGGCGGTATAACTCCCCCTTAACCATTGAACATTAAAATGACATTTAAAAGTGTAATCATCAACAATGTAGGCTACTTTCAACAGAATATGAATAATAATAATAATAATTAATTACATTTATATAGCGCTTTTTCTGGGTACTGAAAGTGCTTTAAATGGAAGAGGGAATCTCCTCAACCACCACCAAACTGTGCATCAGAATGGGGAAAATAACTTATTTAGAATTTGAACGTAGCATAGTTGTTGGTGCCAGACAGATCTGTGTATTTCAGAAACTACTGATCTAGGGATTTTCACGCACAACCATCTAGTGAGCGGCAGTTCTGTGGGCGAAGATGCCTTGTTGATGCCAGAGGTCAGAGTATGATGGCCAGACTAGTTAAAATTCGAACTGATAGAAAGGAAACTGTAACTCAAAAAACCACTCATTACAACCAAGGTCTGCAGAAAAGCATCTCTGAACAACACACAACACATCGAACATTGAAGCTGTTGCAGCAGCAGAAGATCACACCGGGTGCCACTCCTAAAAGAAAAGAACAGGAAACCGAGGCTACAATTCGCTTGGGCTCACCAAAATTGGGCAATAGAAAATGCATTGACAGGGCAAAAACTGCATGAATTTGGTCAGAATTTGGTGTAAACAACATGAAAACATGGATCCACCCTGCTTTGTATCAATGGTTTAGGCTGATGGTGGTGATGAAATGGTGTGGTGATGAAATTTTATTGGCACACTTTGGGCCCCATTAGTACCCATGGAGTATCGTTTAAATGCCACAGCTACCTAAGTATTGTTGCTGACCATGACCATCCCTTTATGACCACAGTGCACATCTTCTGATGGCGACTTCCTGCAGGATAACGCACCATGTCACAAAGTTCAAATCATCTCAAACTGGATTTTTGAACATGACAATGAGTTCACTAAATGGCATCCACAGTCACCAGTTCTCAATCCAATAGAGCACCTTTTGAATGTGCAGCCGAAAAATCTGCAGCAACTGCGCAATGCTATCATGTCAATATAGACATACTGAGGAATGTTTCCAGCACCTTGTTGAATCTATGCCACAAAAAATTAAAGCAGTTCTGAAGGCAAAAGTGTGTCCAACCCGGTACTTGCAAGGTGTGCAATAAAGTGGCCGGTGAGTACATTTGACTGGTGAAATAATGTTTGGTGTAAAACTTTGATTCTCTGACTTGTGATCCCCCCCCCCCCCCCCCCCCACCCACCCCCCATGCAAACTACTCTCAATACTGTTTTGAGTATTTCAATGGGTTTTACTGACCAAAGTAAATTTATTTGTTGAAATTGCAAAGGGGCAAAGTCAGATTATTTATTTATTTTTTATCAATTTAAAGCCTCAGCTACAAAACCAACCATCACATACATCAAAACCTCCTTCATATATTACTCTTACCACCTGTAACATCACTTCACACGATATAGAACATTACCACTTTTTATCTTTCATAACACTGAAGACCTCAAGAATTAAGGCAACCTAACCGAACAAATCATTGAATAGAAATGTAAAATTTTTGAAGAAAAACAGATTTAGGCCTCAGACTCAAACATCTTCTTCCTGCCATCCATACCAGCCTTATCCTCGATGTTCTTACGCCAGTCTCCCACTGCCTCCTTCTCCTGAAGCAGCAGAAACAGTACAACGTTTCAGTACAAGCCTTCTCATTTAAATCACTTTTTTCATCATTTTTAGCGTACAGAATTTTTCTTTCTTCTTTGTCATTCATTATCTTAGACTGCATGTTTAACAACTGACTACCTTTGCTGTAAAAGTCTCCAAAAGAGTGTGAGTTATGCCCACATTTTATTGCACACGTTTCTGTAAAAAGGCTATTAGTGTGTGCTCACCTCGTCCTTGACCTCTTTCTTGACCTGTTTGAGGTTGGCTCTCAGGTCCAGAGACACTTTGTGTTTGGAGCCAAGCAGGGCCTGCAGCATGGCATCAGCAGACATTCGCACTTTCTTCAGAGCAGGTTTCTTGAATTTACCTTTCAGGTCCTGAACCTTTATCTTCAGATCATCAATCTCAAGTGATCAGGAAAAAAGTTTAAGTTTTTAGAAGTTACAGAAGTTAAATACATTTCTATAAGTAGAACAGAACAATCAAGAAGTACCTCCTTGTTTGACTTGGCCACTTTGGTCTCCATATCGTATCTTTGTTCATCAATGGCATCTATCTGCTGGTGCAACTTCCTACACAGTTCCTTTACACAAAGATACATGCCAATTTTTTCCACAAATTTTCACACATAGCCTATTCATCTGTACATTTGCTCATCACACAGCAATACCTGCAAATGAATAAGATGGTGTGCTTTTAAGGCCAATTCACACTGCACTGGCATTAGCATAAATCCAATGGGCAGAACCGATTTCACCAAGAACACAATTGAGTTATATGCACTTGGTGACTGGTTGGTTGATTGGAATGTTGTTCCAGGATCAACAAAGATATTGATCCAGGAACAACATTCCAATCAACCAATCAGATTTTACAACCAGGGTTAGGTGCTTCTACATGAGTATTATTCACCAATCAATTCCCTCTGATTTTAGGGAAAATTTATGGGTAGGGTTAGGATTAAGTGTAGGGATTAAATGGTTAAGATTACATTTTCAGACAGGAATGTTGTTCCAGGATCAACAATATATGTTGACCCAGGAAAGGGTCTAACTCATAGACACTTTGTCAGTTTTTGCCAAATCAGTGTACTCCTGTTGGCGCCTGTTGCCGTTGGTCGGCGCTTGTTCAATTGGCGCTTGTTGGATCGTGTAAAGTCTGAGAAGTAGCGTACTGTAATCTGGTGATTGTCAGCGTTGGTCGACACCTGTTGGTGCAGTGTGATTTGGCATTTAGCCTGTATAAAACTGTTCTTAAGTTCTGTTCTCTCTCTGTCTCTGTCTCTCTTTCTGTACCTGTAGATCCTGCATGCTTCCAGGCAGTGAGAGAGTAGGACAGTTATCTTCCATGTATCGCTGTTTTTCTTGCTCCTCCTCAGCTGCCTCGTCCTCCAAAAGCCCATGAGCGATCTGAAGCAACAAGCTCTGGAGCAGAAAGACGAGAAGAAGCATAGACAGTAATTAACAAGAGATTCACTGACAGTTCAAATAGCCCAGATCTCATGAAGAAAGAGATGGCCTTACCTTCAGATGGTGCTTGCGGCTGGATGTCATCTTTTTCCTATCAGAAAGCAAATGTTTACAATTTCAGAGAGCACAGAACAGTACATCATTCAGCGACTGCGATGCGATGATTATAACCAAGTGATGTAACTCCAAAAAAAGCATTGTGCTTTTGATAATTGTATTATTTAGGCATGTATGCTAGTATGTATAATAATAAATACAAAAATGAGCTGATTGGAGCTTGGCACTAAATGTATTTTATGAGTTCAGTGATCGAGGACAATGTGTTATATGATCATTTTCACAGCACACAAAGATCATGATGTTGTAACTCAATACATACTCAGACATCTTGCCGGTCTCTTTGTGGCGCTGCCTTTGAAAGTGAAGATGCCTGTTGGTGGCAGGAGGGGGTGTTGCAGCCTTCAATCTAATGGAAGCAATTTATATTCAGTCACTGGCCCTGCAGCAGGTCTAAATTTGGCTTGGGATAATGTGAGAGACGGCTGATGTACATGGGTGTGTGTCAAAACCCAAAGAAGTGTTTGATGTTTAAGGGTTTGAATTTGAGAAGCAGTTGTCTTGTGCTCTTGTTTTAGTGTTCCTTTGTTGGAAGTAGGAGGTCTGCACCCAATTCAGAAGACGAGACAGCTGACAGACAAATTGCTGCCTCTTGAAGAATCTCCTCAGCTTCAACACCTAACAGCTGAAACCCTGCACAACTGTAAAAATACTCAGCTAGTCTAAAGAACTATATTAGTTCTATACTTTTCCTGCCAAAAAAAAGATATTGGATTGGACATGGACTGAGTTGGGACTGTTTTCTAAAATGAGTAGTGGTCTCCATACCTGTGTTTGAAGGTAATATGTAAAATGTGGTGATACAATCTTAAAATGAAGGTTCCAAAAGGGGGTTTAGAAGAACCATAGAAGAACCATTTTTAGTTCCGCAAAACCTTTTAGTTATGAAAAGAAACTTTGGTAACACTTTCTATGTGCCCATGCGTATAATGAATTATAGCCGTATTTATAAGTAAGTATTACTATTCTATAAATATATTTATAAAGACTCATTAAGACCTAGAACAGTTATAGTGTTATAGTTTAGTTTAGGTTTATTAGATTTATATTATTTGTATAATTACATAAGTCCTGCATTATATATAACTGATTTATAAATGATCAAATATAAAATAGTTCCAGAGACACTTGTTTGCTGTACCAATTAGTTATCAATTATGTCTTTAATGTCTAATGTTTTTATTAGAGGTCATGAATGGTCATTTTGATTTGTTAAAATCTATTTCTCCTCAGCCATATGCATATTGCTTTTAGCAGTTTGATATATCATATCATTTTCCCCCCATTATTTTATTACAGTAATTATTGTTCATTAGTTATATTTCCAAATAAACTTAAATGTAGTTAGCACATCTTCATGATTTCTTAACATTTGCTTTAGGAAAATTGCTTCCTATGTTTTCACTTTACTTAAAGCCATCAATGATGTATTTATAACTGTATTATCACTCACAATAAGTATTTATAAGAACACAACACGGCTATTAATAAAAATATATTAACTTATTTGACAGAAATAAATCTGAATTACTAAAAGTCATTGTAACTATAATATAATAACATTATAGCAATGCAGGTTGCATCTTTATATATACATTCATGGAACCATACAACTGGCTAATTAATACTTATAAATCAGTGTATAATGGATTATGAGCATGCACATTGAAAAACCAAATACATGACTTATAAGTAATTATAAAAATGATATAAATATAACTATAACTGTTCTTATAATGCAGAATAGGTCTTAATGAGTTATGATACTCTTAATTAAGTATGAATGGAACTATAATTCATTATAATTCATGGCTTCATAGAAAGTGTTGCCGAAACTTTTTTCCTTAGTGTGAAGAACATTTTAAAAATCTAAAGAACCTTTTTCCCCTACAAAGAACAGTGTAATGAACAGTGAACAGTGTTTTTGTGTAATGGAAAGGTTCCATGAATGTTATGGAAATAAAGAACCTTTATTTTTTTAAAGTGTATGCTTTGAATGTATAAATAATGCTGATAAACTTAGACAGGGAATATCTAACTTTCAGCATGTGCTTAATGATATAAATCAGAGGTCTACTGAACATTTTTGAGCATTTGACGTTACAATTAAAAAGTTAAAACTGACCAGAATTGATAACAAAGAACACATCAAAACATATTCATATCCTCTACAATAACAAAAACAGCATAATATCATTTTAGGCAACAGCCACTGTTTTATCTCCAGGACCTTTTTTCCGAGTACACGCATTAAAGCATATTTTTGAGCTTATTGATCTGATTTCTTGGCTGTGTGGCTGCAGCTGCTCAGCACGAGTGAGATGTTTTGAAGGTCTTTGGCATGCTCAAATGTTAGAGTGCAAACCCTAGATATGGAGAATAATAGAGACTCACCTTACAGTGCGCAGCAGAACCTTTAAATGAAATTAGAGGGAAAGAGTGTCAGCTAGTTGAGTTTATATAGGCTTTCCATACAGCTTCTCCATTCTCTTTAAGGAAGCAAATCTTTCCTTAAGCCAATGGGACTCTCTCCTCCCTTCCCCCACAATAAACACACACACACACACATTTGTTTTTCTATAATTCTATCATGTGGATGCTCTATTGAGTTGTATTGTTTTTACATTGAGCTAATGATGCTTTCTACCCTCTTACATAACTTACCTCCACAATGTAGGTGATTTCAGTTTTATCTGTCCTTTTGGGGACATTTTTGGTCCCAACAATGTAGATTATAACCTGATCTACAGTACAAACACAACTTTCACTAAATCATGTCCCACCCTGCAACAAGCCTGAAAAAATAACGCTTTCACTTATATGCCTTTATTGTATGTGTAATAACTGAGAGAAATTAAGAATGAGATTGATTCTTTGCTATCACTTTTGTCACTAAAATCTTTGCATGTTCTCACCTGTTGTGCTCTAGCAACAGTGTTCAGGAATAAAACAGGTGGCAACTCCAACTGTATTACAGGAACATCGCTCAGCACATTCTGCATATAAACCTCACAAGTGCTTTGTAATTGTCATTATAATACACTTTTATTCAACACTTGGCATGTCTGTTGGAAAAGATTTTATTGTTAGAGTCTTAAAATGTTTTACTTACTGTGAAACTTTGCAGAAACTTACATAAATCTATTAAAGTAGGCTAGTGTTAACTATTAGGCCACTTAGTCTTAAGAAGCCTTTATTATCAGGTCAACATCACAGAACAAACAGAAGAAAACAGACAGGCAATGGCTCTAATATTTTCATCCTGCCACATGTGTGTTGAGTTTCTTTTTTTTTTTTTATCAATCATTTGCTGCATTCTTATCTAAAAAAACGTGGGTTAATATAGTTTTAAGTTCCCTTTCAGTCGAGAAAGTCAGACGTAGTCAACGTTGACTGGATGGGGATCACGCCAGGGAGCCAATCATCTTCAAATACTATTGAACGAGCCAATGGGAATTGGCGTGCGTGATGACATCACATACTCCGCCCCCGCAGCCTGGGTATAAATATGGAAGTGGATGCATGCACTAGTTGCCTTTCGCTTCGGAGCAGATCGTTTGATGTCTCTGAAGAGTGCTGTTGTTTACAACGAGCGAGTGTGTCGGTGTTCTTCTGGAAGACTCTCCCAGTCAGGGCCGGCGCTAGCCATTTGGGTGCCCTAAGCACAAATGCTTGGTGGTGCCCCCCACCCCACCCACCCAAGGAATAACAACCATTCAGAATTTCTTAGTCTGATGAAGCACAATATAATAATTCTGTACATAATTTGTAGGGCTGGGAAAAGATTAATCGCGATTAATCGCATCCAAAATAAAAGTTTGTGTCTACATGAATGATATATGTGTGTGTACTGTGTATAATTATTTTGTATATATATAAATACACATTTGCATGTATGTATTTAAGAAATATTTGTTATTTATATATAAAATATTTAAATTTATATATAATATAATTTATAGTATAATTTATAAGTATATACATGCAAATATTTATTAAATATATACGTGCATATGTGTGTGTATTTATATATACAAAATAATTATACACAGTACACACACGTATATCATGTAGACACAAACTTTTATTTTGGATGCGATTAATCTTTTCCCAGCCCTAATAATTTGACAACTCTGTGAATATGAAAATATACAAACACTGAGATTGTGTTTTTTTTTTTCTTTTTCTAATTGCAGTTTCACCAACAGATGTCGCCCTTGGGCCTTGGCCTATGAACCTCTTGAAAATGAACGCATTATCCGCATAAAACAACAACGAAAAAACTTATCTAAGCGGTCTTCCTTTTCTTCTCAAACAAACTAACTGCATCTTAAACAGCCCAAGTTTCAAAATTTTCCGGGGGAGAAAGCCCCGGACCCCCGTTAAAATAAAAGATTCAACATGCAGGGCTAAAAAAGCCCCGGATCATTTCATTTGCACTACTAGCGACGCCCCCCTGGACATGCATACACGACGCAAGGGCGCCCGCGCTACAAAACTAAAATTTTTATTTAAAACATTGTCTTACCTGCAAAGCGACGCGCGAGTATCATCCCGCTGTCTATTCTTTTTCCTTTTTTCGCACCCGACTCTTGGTGCCTTTCCGAGGCCATGTCTGAGGTCGGTGTCTGCCAAATTTGACATTGATTGAGGCATAATCGAACAGACCACTGGGAGGTGGGGAAGGGGGGGCACCAGAGGGAGACGAAAAAGGAGATCACCTTTTTCTCGACTAATTTGGTCTAGGCCTATATTACTTTTGTATTGCTTTTGTATATTAACATGCTTTAGACATATTTTATTTGTTATTTATACTAGTAGCCTATTGTGATGATTTTTCACGACCCAGATTTTTTGGTGCCCCCCCAAGCACTTGGTGCCCTACGCGCAGCGAGTGTTGTGCGTGTGCGGAGCGCCGGCCCTGCTCCCAGTGCTGATGGTTTCTACAGCGCGAGTGTCGGTGATCGCAAGCTTTGAGCTCTCACCTGCTGTTTTAACAGCAACAAATTTCTAAATGTTTGTGTGTGTTGACGGCTGGTTAGAGGGCGGGAAAGTGAGTGCTTCACTGTTTCAGTTCATTGTTCAGTGTTGCCGCGGTCATTCCCCTGTGTGCTCCGGCAGTGGTGATGGGTCCTATTTCCTGAAAGAGCAACACGGGTGCGTTTACGTCTTTTTCAAGATGTCATTCCACCCATGCGTTTCTGGATGCGGTCGTTCCCTGTTCCTCTCTGACGGTCACAATTGTTGCATCACGTGTTTGGGCTTATGCACGCTGAAGCAGCTTTTGTGGACGATTCATGTTCCCATTGGGGGAATATGACTGTTGCAGTGTTGAGGTCGAGACTCGCCTTCGTCCGCAAAGCGCAAGTCCCAATTACCATGCCCCACCCCCAGGTGCCGTGTGGGATGGGTGATCAGAGGATAGTGATGGATGTCTCGCCCGGTAACCATTCCCTGTGGGCTCCTCACTCCTCCATCACACCGCAGCCGATGGAATTCCTGTTAGACATGCTGGTCCGTCTGTAATGGACCGATCAGCCATTTCAATTAGGGTTCCCCCAGAGGATAAGATGTCGATAGCAGCATCGGAGGGTGAGCTGGCCTCTGGAGATGATGACTCGGCTGTGTTATTTCCCTCTGGGAGTGTAACGTTGCCAGAGCCAGATCCAGAAATGTCAGCTATGCTGAAACGGGCCGCCCAGGCTGCCGGGCTCGAGTGGAACCCTCCACCGTGTCCCGTTCAGTCTCAGTTGGTATCTCGGGGCGGGCCGCGCTGGTTTTCTTTCCCCAAGTGCATGGAGAGCTTACCAGGTTGTGGACGGTACCTTTCTCTGCCGGCAACTGCCTGAATAGCTTTTCCCCCTCACTACCCTCATAGGTGAGCACCGCAGTGCTTCCGACCTCGCCCTCCGGGGCACGAGTGTCGTGGCGGGTGCGATCGGTCTGGCGATGTCCACCTTAGTGGTCCAGGAGCGCCATCGTTGGCTCAGCCTGGTTGATATGGCGGATGCGGACAAGGTTCGGTTCCTGGTCTCCCCAATTTCCCAGGTTGGGCTGGTCGGCGAAGCGGCGGAGACCTGCGTCCAACAGTTCTCTGCCGCCCAAGCGCAGACGGAGGCCATCCGGGTGTATATTCATTATACACCCGCCACCGGTGGCAGTTCCTCCGCCTGTTCATCGCTGAGGGCGTTCCCCTGCCGCCGCTCCCGCTGGTCCTCCGCAGCAGCCTCCAGCCAGGCCTCAGCTTGGAGCCGGCCACAGTAGAGGCGCTGCCAAGCCAGGTGGCAAGCGACAGCGAAAGCATTCCGGAGCGGGCCGCTCAGCGATGGAGGAGGATGCTCTTGGAGTTGGTCACTGATCCACTCCCTCCCCCCGGGTGAGGGTCGGATAGAGTCTTTGTTTGTGTGTGTGTATCTTCCACCGCTGGCTCCCAAAAGAAGCGGAGCAAGCGGTAGCCACACTTCAAAGAAAGAGCAAATTCGCCTTCTCTCGCATCCCTGGCCGTCTTGTGGAGACAGGTAAGTGTCGTACACCACACTCAGACCCTGCTTCGGGCCGCCTCCGGGCCTTCCGAGCCGGATCCCTGTCCTCCACCTCGCTGCCCCACCTCGGATACGTCTGTGGTTCCCTGGCCCCTGGCACGGTGTGTGTAAGCCTTAAGATACTTCCTACCGCTCCAGCTGGCCCCGAAACTTCCAGCAGACTCGGCTTGCGATTCATTTCGCTTGGCTGTCACCCTGGCTCAGTGATATTCATCATACCTAGTTGTTGAGCTGAGATGCTCCTAAGATTAGCGATATTTATCACACCTACATGTTGAGCGTTGCTCCTGTCCTGCGTGCGCACGTCACAGTCCTACTGGCGAAAAACGCGATGTAGCGTTTTCCTCCAGCCGATATGAAGACTGGTTTCTTTAAACCCGTACTTAAATGTACCCTACATATGTGGTGGGTTATGGCCTTCTTGGAGCTGTGTCAATTGAAACGGGCCCTTTTTTGAAAGCCTCCATTCAATTACTAACACAGATGCATTTTCAAATGCTCCGTCCCCAAGGTTGGCCTGCAGTGTTCGATCTGAAGGACAGTACTTCAGATCTCTATCCTTCCGCTCCATAGATCATTCTGTGTTTTTGCGTTCGAAGGTGTAAAGTATCAGTACAAGTCCTACCCTTCGAGTGCTCCATAGCCAGTTGGGTCTTCAGGTCAACTGGGAGAGAGTAATCTCACCCACGGGCAGAGTATCTCTTTTTCAGTTCAGGAGAAGGACTCGGTCCAACACATCTCTTCAAGAAGAGTGTGTTCGGCTGGTGCTTGAAGTGAGAAAGGGTCCCACTGAAAGATTTTTCAGAGGCTCCTGGGGCATATGGCAGAAGCAGCCGCTTTGGCTTCCTCCATGTGAAGACCGCTTCAGCACTAGCTTTATGATCGAGTCCCGAGGTGACCGTGGCAGAGCGGCACGCCCTGTGTGACAAAGAGATCACCCTGGCCTGCTGCCAAACCCTCAGCCCGTGTTCA